CAATCCTCATGATAACTTTCCTTATCTCTACAATAAGTAAATCCACTTCACCGCGATGCCAAATATACAGAGCTACCACAAAGAAAAAGAGACACAATTCTAAAGATGGCCTCCTGCTTGTTAGTTATTTATGAGATATTTTATACTTTTGGGTGAATTATCCCTTTAACCCCAACTATGTTAATGTCCATTGTTGTGTTGCACTAATGAACATGCATTTATGTCCTCTACCATTCCAGCTCTGAAAGTCAAATCTATAGATTATTTAGAAAGTGCCACACTGAGCTGCAGATTGTCCATCAAGCGCCCCCTCTAGTGGACACTATAGCTAGCAAACATGTTTCATGTCCATTTGTGAAGTCGTTCATTCCCATCTAGCATTGCAGAGAGCATGATTTGGTAAGACTTGATTAGGTAGCAACTAGCTTTCAACAATAAAATACGCGAATAAAGAATTAGAATTAAATGTAAACTATTCGGCATTGCATTATGATGCATACACTCTAAAAAAATGCTGGGTTGTTTTAACCCAACTTTGGGTCAAATATAGACTAACCCAGCCGTTGGGTTAAATTTTTACATTACATTTTTAACCCAACATTTCGGGTTTGTCCATATTTGACCCAAAATTGGGTTAAAACAACCCAGCATTTTTTAGAGTGTACCAGGTTGCATCTTGTGTTATTTAGTCATTCTCTCTGAATTTTTTCAGATGCGTTAACATGACGTCAAGTGTGCGGTCAGTGGTGTATCCAGTGCGCGCGCTTCCAAGGCGCGCACTTCTGCACAAAGCGCGAGCTGACAGGTACACTTATCACGTCGCGTACACCGTACACGCATGGGAATCTGTTGCAGTTTTGCGTAACACAACAACACTACATCAGACTGAGTGATATGCGATCAATGTCCACCTGGCACCTGTTGTTGGAGAGCGCTTTCAGAAACAATGGGTGACACTCTCGACCTCAACCTCAGCGGATGGAGAAGTTTAAACAGGAGTTTCACGGGTCTCCACAAGTTCAGCAGTCTGGAGGACATCGATGTAAGCGCTGACGGAAGCCTGGTCCTGAGGATCATCATCTCGGCTGTGTACTCCGCGGTGTGCGCCGTGGGTTTGGTCGGGAATCTCCTGGTGTTTTTCCTGATGAGGATCAGACAAGGACGGAAGAAATCCATCATTAACTTCTTCGTCATCAATTTAGCGGTCACCGACTTCCAGTTCGTCCTGACCTTGCCCTTCTGGGCAGTGGATACGGTGTTGGATTTCAGCTGGCCGTTTGGTAACGCCATGTGCAAGATCATTTTATCAGTCACTGTGATGAACATGTACGCGAGCGTGTTCTTCCTCACCGCGATGAGCATCACGCGCTACTGGTCTGTCGCGTCCGCCTTAAAAATCCCTTCTCGAGCGAAGTGTGTGTCGGTGAAGTGGATCAGCGCGGTGTTGTGGATCCTGGCGACTGTAGCGACAGCTCCAACATCTATTTTCTCCACCGTGACAGTCGTGGCAGGTGAAAAACTCTGCCTCCTCAAGTTTCCGGAAGGACACCATTGGCTCGCGCTGTATCACCTTCAGAAAATTGTCGTCGCGTTTATCATGCCCATGTTCGTCCTCTCAGTGTGTTATCTCTTACTTCTGAGGTTTCTCCGAAAGAGAGGCGCTAACACCCATCAGAGAAGACGATCTAAAGTTGCGAGGTCTGTGACGGTGGTGGTGCTCTCGTTCTTCATCTGCTGGATGCCGAACCATGCGATCACTCTGTGGGGAGTTCTGGTGAAACTCAACGCCGTGCACTGGGACAAGTCGTACTACATGGTGCACACTTACGTTTTCCCCGTGACTGTTTGTCTTGCCCACACTAACAGCTGCTTAAACCCAGTCTTGTATTGTTTGATGCGCCGGGAGTTCAGGAAAACGCTACATAGTTTCTTTTGGCGCGTCTCGTCACCCGTTCTTTCGAACGTTGGGAAACTCCATGGATACAGTGGAGGGAGCAACCAAACACACGATGGCGCGCATATTGGGATTCATTTAAACGTGATTGACGCACAACTCTGCCAACAACCCACACAATAACAGACCACACCCAACAAACACAGAACGTTCCCCTAACGTTCCCGAATGGTCCCATGAGGTTATTTTTTTGGGAACCAAACAAGAACGTTATAGGAACGTTATTTTTAGGTTCCATTTTTATAACTGGAACGTTCCCTTAACCTTAAGGGAAAGTTCTACACTCTAAAAAATGCTGGGTTGTTTTAACCCAACTTTGGGTCAAATATGGACTAACCCAGCCGTTGGGTTAAATTTTTACATTACATTTTTAACCCAGCATTTTGTGTTTGTCCATATTTGACCCAAAATTGGGTTAAAACAACCCAGCATTTTTTAGAGTGTAAGGGAAAGTTCTAGGAACGTTCTGGGAACCAAAAACTAACGTTCCCAGAACGTTCCAGAACCGAAACTTGTTTGCTGGGACATTCGGACAGCATTCACTGGACAAATACTGTAGTCGCGGATATAAATTACTCTACACTCTACGCAATGCTGGATTGTTTTAACCCAAATTTGGATCAAATATGGACAAATCCAAATGTTGGGTTAAAAATGTAATTTCAAATTTCAACTTCAACTTTCAACTGTGAATTTTTTTTAATTTACATTTTTAACCCAACATTTTGGTTTGTCCATATTTGACCCAAATTTGGGTTGAAACAACCCAGCATTTTTAGAGTGAAGTGTTTTTGAACCATACTATAGTAAAGGTAGCTACTACAGTAAACTGTATTACAAATACTATAGTAATTTATAGTAAAGTTATTAAGGAAAACGTAAGACTAACATTTTTTGATCATATTATAGTAAAGATTAGAGCCAGACCGATATATCGGCAGGCCGATATTATCGGCCTATATTAGGCATTTTCCAAACTATCGTATCGGTAGTTATAATGGCCGATAAATGAATATTTCAACATTAAAATAAAAATGGACGAAACACGCTTGAAACATGTCATGAGTGTTGGAGTTGTATAGTTTGTCCACCAGAGGGCAATGTTCTGTTGCGACAATAAAAGAAAAAAGTTTCTTTTTAAAATCCATTTTCTTATTATTTTAGTTAAAACTTATACATAACTACAAATAACTAATGTTAGGGAAATCTGTTGATGTTTTGTTGCGCATTTCTGAAAAAAATAAAATAAAATAAAAGAAATATCGGCTGATATATCGGAATATCGGATTTTAAAACCAACAATTATTTGTATCGGTATCGGCCTTCAAAATCCTTTATCGGTCGGGCTCTAGTAAAGATACTACAGTATTTACTATAGTTTGAAAGTTAGTCAAGTGTAGTAAATACTATAGTATACTACACAATATAAATCAGTTTACTGTAGCGACTGAGAACTAATACTACAGTATTTACTACAGTTTACTTTAGTTGATACTATGATATGCTGAAACGATTCGATACTGAACACACGATACGATATTATTGCGATACTCCAGACATATGGTGAAATGCACTGTTGATTAAAATGCTACATTTGATATTACATTGTGGGTTTAAATGAATAGACTGGGTGCTTGTAAGCACAGGACAATAGAGACACCAGAATAACAATATTCATGATTCTGAAGCTGAAAATACAGAATTATTTTAGACGAATTTGCTTGCACTCTTTCACTGACTAATCGGCCACTTTTTACTGCTAACATCAGACATTTGGCATTATCAGGACCCACAAATATTACCGCATTACATTATTATACATCATAATCAACATTATGCATAATGTAGTATTGACAATAAAAAAAATTTTCACACACAGTAATTTTTTATTTTTGGGGGAACTATCCACGATACATTTTGTTGCTTTTTTGTATTGCGATAAATACTAAAGTTTACTACAGTATTTTTTCATGTGGGACAGGTTCTGTTAACTGATGCAACAGTTTCTCTCTCTCTCTGATGAACCAAAGGTGCTCATGAAAAGGTTATATGACTTGACATAGTGTGACTTGAACAGTTTTAAAGGTGTTTTATTCGTTTGTTCACACACATGCTGGATGTCTGAGTTAAACCAAATGACTTAAAATACACTCTAAAAATACTGGGTGGTTCCAACCAATGTTTGGGTCAAATATGGACAAACCTAACCATTGATTTACATTTTAACTTGGAAATTTTTTGATCCAATGGTTGGGTTTGACCCATATTTAGTGTACATTTTGTCTTGCATCTACTATTTCCCTGCTATCATAGTTAATTTATTTTCTTGTTTTGATCTTTTCGTGTGATTGAAGTATGTGCAAATTTGTAAAATAAAAAATACACTTAAATGTAAAGATACTCTGAGGTCTAAATCTGTACATGAGTTTTAATCATTTCTTCATATGAACTGTATAATACATTTATTTCTATATAATTCTGAAAATGCTGTCATCATTTACAAACATCTACGACTTTCTTCTGCAGAACACAAAATATTATATTTCACAATATTTGTCACTTAACATCGAGTGGGGTAAGATGTGTCGCCATGTGATCTATCAAACTGTGCACATTATTTATGCTAAAATTGTGCATGTCAGAGATAGCAGGTAATGTATACAACCATATAAATCTCCAGGACTAAAGATAAATGGTTAACTTAATCTTTTATCATAAAATCTCAGCTGTGGAATAAAGAGAACTAAGAGACAGAAAACTTTGCATCCATTAACGTCTCCTGAAAAGGGCGATCAAAGAAAAGACAAAAATTATTTCAAAGGATTTTACTGTAGAAGAAATAGTTCAAAATCATATTGCTTCAGAGAATAAAAGTCAGTGATAACAACACACTGAATTAATTATATCCAGACTAGAGAAGGTAAAGCAAAAATATTGTTTTTTTAATAAACTGAATAGTGCAAAGTAGCATTTGTTTTGAATATAAATTTGAGGACATTCTATTATACCGCCAATGTCAAATTTCTGAATACTTGCATATTGAACAGTGTTTGTTCTTTTTAAACAAAACATGCAGAAGACAATAGCCTCCTTCACGATGAAGATCACTCACCAAACTTCCTTAAAACGGGGTTGATCAAATATTTAATCTTTTCTGAGAAAGAGGATTTATCTGATATGCAGATTGGATATCGACTGCCCTTGTTGATGCCCAGCGTAACTTTCATGTAACACCTGCACTTCTTCTGCTAAATTATATTAGATGCACATCATTTACACATCCTTATACATATAAAACACAAGCTCAGAAAACTGATCACTTGCAAGAGCATGAGAATTTTCTACATGCACGATTAAACTGACATGGTCTGAATAAGCATTTCACTTGTTATTGCTTCCATAGGATGAAATGCGTTGTTGTATTCCTCATTTGTAAGTGGCATTGGATAAAAGCATCTGCATCTAATCACACCAGCCTGCAGTATTTTTAATTATTTATAAGTGTTGGCACAACGTGTTCACGACTCCCTCAAGTGGAAGGTGCATGCATTAGTTTTAGGTCACACTTTAAGGGATTCTCCACCGTTTTTTCATATTAAACTGTCTATGTTATTCGAGTTGATACATACCTCTGTTATGTCGTCTCAGTGTGTGCACTCAATCGCTCGCTCTGGCTCGCGAGGCACTTTGATAGCACTTAACTTGACCAGTTCATTCATTATGGGCCAAGCAGAGAAGCGACCAAACACCTCCACGTTTCCCCTATTTAAATACAGTTACTCGAGCAGTGTTGTGTTACTCGACCTAGGGCGGTGACATAAAATAAAACGTTGCGCTTTTCTAAGCGTGTAAAGTGGATAACTATATTGTATGGCGGAATACCACAGCAAGTGCTTGGGAGCACTTCGACTCGGCGCAGTAATGGGCTGTATGCACGGCGGTATTTCCGGTGAAGGATGCTCGATAACTTCCGCCGATCGTAGCACCGAGAATTTAGGGGGGTGGCGCAAGATGGCGACCTGAACGGTTGTGTTGGTTCGAGCTCTGAGGCGTTTTTGAGGAGTCGTATCTTCTGGTCGAAATTGTAAAGTTTCTTTACAAGTCATGAAGTGTTAACGCTTTTAAGGGAAGAATGCAATAAATAGACTTTATAAAAATTTCACCTGACTGTGACGCAGCCTGTATTGACGGAGCACACTGCAAGTCCACGTGCGAGTTTTCCATCATGCCAAAGAACAAGGACAGAAAGTTACTTTCTTCGCTTCTCGAGGCATCAGCTGGAGTTGATTCATCTCCAACTACTCCAACAGGTAGCCCTCTTTCAAAAAAAGTATGTCAGGAAGAAGACTTCAATGTATCGAATGCTGACATACTTCGTGCTGTCAACGCTCTCAATGAGCGTTTCTCGGCGGTGGAACAGCAGATTGCCCAGAACTCGGTCGCTATTGTTAATCTTTCAAAGACAACTGATTTTGTGGCCGAGGAGATGAAATCTCTGTCTGCGAGAGTCAAGGCTAACGAGAGCAAAGTATCGCAAATTGAGCAGGTGGCCAGAATGGTTCAAGTCAAGTGCGATCAGGCCGAGATCTACAGTAGGAGATGGAACTTGAGGCTAAATAATTTGAGAGAAGCAGATGGAGAAAATATAAGAAGCAAAGTGCTTGAAATTCTAAAACTGCTGACTCCGGACGAGGTAGATGTCATCCCTTTCTCTGTCGACACTATCCACAGGATTGGACGTCTTGGGTCTGGAAACAACCGTCCTAGACCAGTCATTATTCAGTTCGCGCTCAGATCCTACAGAGAGAAAGTTTGGAAAGCTGCACGGGACCATCCTGCACTTAAGGAAAGAGGGATTCGCCTGGCAGAGGACCTGACTTTTGCTGAAAGACAACAGAGGAAGCTCCTGTGGCCAAGGGTAAATGCGGCGAGAGAAGAGGGGAAAAGAGCCTACTTTCGTGGAGCAGATGCTTTTATCGATGGAAAAAAACTGGTTGTTGACGACTTTCAAGATGAATATTGACTGTGATTTTGACTTTGCTGGGTAAGCAGTCGAACTGAACACTTGTGCTCGATCTTGAGGCCATTTCTGTTCGTCCAGGTGATGCGACTCCTTGAATTTTGGAGTGGATCAATACCGACTGGTTTGTGAATTTTCGTTGTTTCAGGGTTCTTTATATAACATTGTTCTGACATCCAAATAAGATTTTTTCATGTCTGATTTTGTTTTTAGTTGTTTAAAAGTTGTTTCTCTAAATGTTAGGGGTTTACGAGACTGCACTAAAAGGAAATCTATGTTCATTTTTGTTAGACGTACAAATGCGAATTTAATTTTTTTGCAAGAGACTCATTCGTGTGATTCTGACGTTAAATGGTGGCGTTCTCAGTGGGGCGATCAAATTTTATTTTGTCATGGTTCTCATCATTCGGCTGGTGTCGCAATTCTTTTAAATAAATTTAAAGGCGACGTATTGGAATCGGTTAGCTCCAAAGAAGGTAGATGGTTACTGGTAGTTGTTAAATTGGATAACTCTTTATTTGTTTTAGGGAATTTTTATGGTCATAATTCTTCAGCCCAAGCCAAAAATATGTCTACGGAGGTCATTCATTCTATATCAGTACTGGTGGGGAAATATCAAGGTGCCTTCTTGATATTGGGTGGTGATTTTAATGACGCCCCAGATGATTTTTTAGATCGTTTCCCTCCTCACACGCTTTCGAATTCAAAATTTAAATTTACTACTGATTTATGTGCCCATCTCTCCTTAGTGGATATTTGGAGATTCTTGAATTTTAATGAAAAATGTTATTCTTGGAGTAACACCTCTAGGTCTTTACAATCAAGGATTGATTTATGGTTAATTAACCCTGGGGCTGTTAACTATGTCATGGATGTTACATACAGTCATGCACCTCTTTCGGATCATAAAATTGCTGTTTTGACTCTTTCTGGAACTGAAGTTAAAAATAACAGTATACGAGGATATTGGAAATTAAACAACAATCTCCTTAGTAATGAAGGTTTTGTAACCCAGGTTCGAAAATTTGCTCAATTCATTTTTGAAAATAAGCAAATGTCACATGTTAAAAAATGGGAATTATTTAAGTTTAAAGTTAGACAATTGGCTGTTTATTTTAGTAAGCAAGTTAAAAAAAACAATTTGAATAAGGAAAAGGCTCTCATGACAGAGTTAGACCTTCTTTTGAAAAAAGTCGATCTTACAGAAGACGAAAGAGTTAGATTGGAGACAATAAAAACACAAATTGATCAGATTTATATTAATATAGCAAAAGGTGCATTTATCCGTTCTAGAGCCAAGTGGTTAGAAAAAGGGGAAAAGAATACAAGTTATTTTTTTTCTCTAGAAAAAAGAAATTATAAAAGACAAACAATCTCCTCTCTTAAAATCAATGATGTTATCACCTCAAATCCAAAATTGATTGCAAATTATGTGGAATCATTCTACTCTAAGTTATATGAATCTGTATTTGAAATTGATAAATGTTCCGACTTTTTTGAGTCAGTTCAACAGTCTGTCACTTCTATTTCTAACCAATTTCGAGATCTTTGTGATGAAGAACTAAGGAAACAAGAGATGGTTACAGCTATTCGTTCAATGAAGAAGGGAAAATCGCCAGGAACAGATGGTCTTTCAGTTGAATTTTATCTCTGTTTCTGGGATATTATTGAAAATCCATTATTCGAAATGTATAAGGAGTGTATTGAATCGAACGAATTATCGACTTCGATGAAACAGGGTTTAATAACCCTCCTTCCAAAACCCGATAAAGATCATTTGATCTTGGATAACTGGCGTCCTATAACATTATTAAATGTAGATTATAAATTGCTATCTCTTGTTTATGCAGTACGATTGAAAAAAGGTCTAGATGAAATTATTAATGAGTGTCAAACTGGATTTATGGCTGGCCGACACATAAGTTGGAACATTAGACTCATTTTGGACTTGTTAGACTATTCAAATTTAGTAGAATCAGAGGCCTTAATTGTTTTCTTAGACTTCCATAAAGCGTTTGATACGATTGAGCATCAGTTTGTGTATAGAGCGTTTAAATCTTTTGGTTTTGGGGAACGTTTTACTTCTATAATTGAAATGTTTCATAAAGGTATTAATAGTTCTATTAATTTATATCCAAACACTTCTAAACGATTTCCCATCTGTAGAGGAGTGCGACAAGGTTGTCCTATAGCCCCTTTCGTATTTCTCATTGTAGTTGAGTTTCTTTCCATTAAAGTTTTGAATTCTCCAGATATTCAAGGACTTACCGTCTTCAACAAACAGCTTAGATTAACGCAGCTTGCGGATGATACTGTTCTTTTTTTAAATAATAAGGAACAGTTGCCTGCTGCATTGCAGTTAGTAAGTACATTTTCCAATGCCTCGGGGTTGATGCTGAATGTAAATAAATGTGAGATAATGTGCCTTTATGATTCGACGGAAAAACTTTTATGTAATATCCCTGTTAAAAATAAGATTAAGTATCTAGGAATAACTGTAACAAAAGATATAGCGGAGAGACAAGAGTTAAATTTTTCCCCCAAACTTAAAAAAACTCAAAACATCTTTAATAACTGGCTTCAAAGAGACTTGACTATGATAGGCAGAGTCCTATTAACCAAAGCAGAAGGGGTATCTAGATTTGTTTATCCGGCTTTATCTCTTTATGTCCAAGACTCGATTTGTAAAAAAATAAATGACTTATTTACTAAATTTGTTTGGAAGAATAAACATCATCATTTAAGAAAGGAGATTCTACATGGTCCAAGAAATGAAGGTGGTTTTGAGCTTTTGGATTTTTTTGATTTAAATTATACCTTTAAGGTCAAATGGCTCAGAAACTGTCTTCTTAAATCAGACTCCATATGGTTTTTTATTCCATACAATATTTTTAAAAAGATAGGAGGTTTAAATTTTTTGTTATTATGTGATTACTCCATTAGTAAACTGCCTGTGACATTATCCAATTTCTACCAACAAGCTCTCAAGGCCTGGAAGTTATGTTATGTACATAACTTTTCCCCACATAAAGCAATCTTGTGGAATAATGCTTATATTACAGTAAATCGGAAATCTCTTTATTTTCAGAGATGGAAAGACAAAGGAATTTACTTTTTATCTGACCTTTTAGATCAGTCAGCTCAGTTTCTTTCTTATGAAACTTTCATGAATAAGTGGGCTTTTCCTATTAAATATAGAGAATATTATTCTGTGATAAAAGCCGTTCCCTCAGGTCTAATGATGTTAATGAGAAGCCATATGTCATCCCTTAACATATGTAGAAGTGATCCTGTACTTTATTTAAATGGTGTGGACTTTAATAGTAAAAAATGCTCCAATAAATTTATTAGAAATATATTTTATAAAAACAGGTCCTTTCAGCCAAGAGGGAAATTTTTCTGGAACATTTGCTTCCCAGAGATTATCTGGAAAAAAGCTTGGTTGCTTCCATTTCGGTTTTGCATACCGAACAAATATAGAGAAATACACTTAAAAATTCTTCATAACATTTATGTTAATAATTACACTTTATCAAAATTTACAGAGATTGATGAGAATTGCTCATTTTGTCTGAATCAACCAGAAAAAACTCTACATCTTTTTTTTGAATGTCATCATTCTAAAAAATTTTGGGAAAATCTATCTATATATTTTCAACGGAAATCAGGTCATAATTGTGTATTAACACCCAAAGATGTTATTATATATTTTGAGTCAAAAACTATGTCTGTAAATTTTATGATTAATCTTATGATTCTATTTGGCAAATTTCACATTCATAAAAGTAAATTTAATAATTCTAAGCCTTGTTTAAAGGTTTTTTTGGCTGATTTTATGTTGTATATTGAATCTCTTAAATCTATAGATAATAAGAAATGCTCGGACACAATTGTATTCGCTAAAGAATTGAAAATAATTGAACAGTGAAGAATTATATGTTTCTCTTCTTTCCTCAATACTGTCTTGGATTGTAATTTCTCGTAGCTATTATATTTATAATTAGTTAAATTTAGCCCTTTATTTATTTTTTTTTTATTTATTTTTTTTAGTCTCTTGTTCATTTATGTTAAACTATTTTTGGAAAATTTTGGATTGTTGTCTTTTTGGATGTCATGTTATTGTTTGTATGTTTTGTATGTCTAATAAAAAAATAAAAAATAAAAAAAAAAAAAAAGCACCGAGAATTTATATTGAATTTTATACTCCATGGTTATACAAAAGAAACGTAAGTCACAAAAAAGACAAAACATACACCCCTCGTTGTGTTTATGCTTCTTTTTTAAATTATATCAAATAAACATAACTATATATAAAAAAATACATCTAAACGTATGAAAGTTTCGTTTCAAAGACTCTGTCATAATCCCGTTTTCTTCCGTTTTTTCCTCAGTTTATCCCAATATCTAAATATCTAATGTTTAATTAAATATCTAAATGTTACTGTGAAGAAGAAAGATATAAAACGTTTAAATATCAATCTGCATATGTAAGGGACATTGGTTATGCTAATTTTTGCTCGCTCCTTTTAAGTTATCTTGCGTAAAACCACTAAAAAATTAATGAAGCACGTACAAAGACCTCAACCGGAAGCGATGCAATCTGTTTTACAGAATGCGGAAGTAAATTGTGCATAGTGCCTATTCATTTCACTTTTGGTGTGAAAGGGTATTTACATGTGCCAATATATATATAAAAAGAGCAAGCCCAGCCCAAGTTTTAGAGAGTAACGCATTACTTTTAAAAGTAGCTTTCCCCAATACTGCTGAAGAGCGTTATGTTTGTATTTACCACTTTTAAAAGTACAAACCCTTCAAAAATAAGACTTCAACAAATCCTTTGTGTAACAATACAGAAACAGCTCCATTCAAGTAATCAAGCTGTAAATATAACCTTGATAAACATGCTAGACTTTTCATTTAATAATATTCTTTTGTCAGGCATCACATCAAGTTTGGAAACTTTCTCGAATGGTTCAAATGTCCTTTATTTTGCATCCCCCCCA